GATATCCTCTGAAAGTAGCCTGAGGGGTCATGCTGCTGTCACAATAGTAGTCAGGGGACTGGTCCCCTGACAGCCCTGTAGTATTATGGTTGAAGCTTAATATTACTTCTTGGTCAATAACTTTCTATTACCATCTTTCCTCAAACAATAATATTGCCTACGCTCTAATAAGATGTCATTCCCAAGTAAGCATCCACAGAGAATTGGCAAAACTAGCAAATGAGAGCCCATCCCCAAAAGACAAATGGTTTGTTATTCGACTATCAATGATGTCTAATCAGTAGCAGCCGCCTGGTTTATGACATAATGGCTACCCTGCGTGGCAGGTGCGGGTTATTCTTTTGGTGAGTTTTTATAGAGTTCACGAGGGGAACACACGAAGAGAAAACGAGTCACCTGCAGTGAATGAATGAATGAATGAATGAATGAATGAATGAATGAATGAAGAGTCCCGTATGAGAGGACAACAGACGTGCCTTCTTATAACACATTTTAACATGTGAACAGTAAGCTCTGACGTCAGCATACAAAGGCGCCACTGGCAGCCACTCTCAGTCATTTATGAGCTTACTGTACCCACCCAACCCATGATGTGAATGATGTGATGTGCGAAGGTTGACCCCACCACCGGGGTCTACATCCCCTACTCTTTTGCGAACAGCGGGTTCTTTTACGTCCCACAAGAACCAGATAAGCGTAAGTGCTGTGAGACGGGACCTATGGTTTTTCGTCCTTATCCGACCTCCCACTCAGCAGACCAGCGCTCTCCCAACTGAGCCAACCAGGTGGCAGTTGAAGGCCCTAGTTTTCCATTTTCTAAGTTCTATGATGGTGTGTAGAATTCCACCGGCTCTTGGGAATTAGTCTGTCACCTCAATGCATTATTAGTCAGTTGGTGGAAATTTGAGGCATGTTTTCTGAAACAGATGACAATGGCGCATGGCGGAGGGACTTTTCGAATTGTTTAGTTCAAAGATGGCGCAATGAAAAGCATTGTGCCATCTTATCCTTGGTAAAGATCTCATAACAGGTTCAAAAGAAAGGTTTTAAATATTCCACTTATTTGTTCTACTGACTGGTGTCCAAAGACCAGAAACAGCTTTGCAACCGTTGCAAAGCAAAATTTGGGATTGAGCAGTAGCCTGCGTAGCAAGCATTTCCGCGCGTTTTTTCCGCATGAGACACAGGCTGAAGAGCAGCCGCTCTTCAAAACTTATAGCCAGTGGAGTGAACTGTTCGGAACAAATCATTTTTGACATTTTGTCAAGGTTTCAGATGAGATAAAGCAACACAACAAAAAAAAGAAATTCTGCAGCAATTGCTCAGAGTTTTAACTTTCTTTTATTGTAAACCTTTTTTATTACGGTTCCTGCAATTGCCTGGAACATGTTCTGTTAGAGAACAAAGTAATTTTACAAATCTGGTAATCCAGGGGTAATCTGTTCCTTAGTTCTATTTTGACGAACTGTCAATTTACAAATGAATCGAACTGTGAAATATCAAGGGGCATTTTCCAGAATCAAGGGGTTAGCAGGCAATTGTTTCCTCTTCTCCCCTTCCCCTCCCCCTTCCACCTTTTTTTTTGCTCCTGCTCTAACTTTCACACAATAACTCTATTGGAAATGCTTGCTATGCAGGCTAATCAAGCAGGGGGGGGGGGGGTTCCTTCAAGGGGAATGCAATTTTGTGCCCTAAAAGAAAAAAAGAACTTTTAAAGGAAAAAAAAGAAAGGAAAACAAAAATTTTTTTAAAGGAAAGGGTTAAAGGAACGACCGAAAGATTGTTGGCCATGTTGCTGGTAATTTAAATTTTCAATTTTTTTTTTTTT